AATAATAATAATAATAATAATAATAATAATAATAATCTCTGAATATAAAAATGGATGGATGTAGGTGTGAATTGATCCACAATATTTTGAATCACTGCAGCAATAGTTCCCAAATTTAGCATGAATACTTGAGCAACTGAGAAAAAGAAACATAGCGAGCAACAACAAATCTATCCCAACTGCCTTATTGCCAAAAATTTCTTACGAAAAAAATAAAAGGCTGAGGGCAGAGTGAGAAGGGGGGCAGGGGAGACAGAGCAAAAGGGGCAGAAGGACAGACCAAGAGGTACACATACGGCAAGAGCACAGGGAAAGAGCCTGTTTAATAGATTTAATAAAATATACCCGAGGTATTTATTTATTACAATTCTTCTGGTTCTGGTGCAGTTCAGATCATGTGAATATAACCAAAGTATCATTAGTGATAAATAGAAGACAAAAGCTCAACAAGGGAAAGAAGGAATGGATGATCAAAAGTAAAACAGGGAGAGCATGGAGATTAAAAAAACAACAACAAATTAGCAGGAAATGGATGAGCAGGAATTAGATAAAACAGTCAGCAAGTCCTGAATGCAGAGACCAAAGCATGCCGGAAGTGACAAAATAAACCAAAACTAGAGGTGACGAAAAAGCAAACTACAAAATCAAAGTGAAGCCATGTGGGCTACACATTGAACATATTAAATCAACAAGCAATGATATCACATTTGGCAGGAAACGCAAGAGGTGTTTCCATGCAAAATGTGCAAGTGACAGAAATGAACATAAAAACACTGCAAAAGGCATCAACCAAACTGATATGGTTATGCCAAGAAAGTAAAAATGTATTATAAGGATATAAAGAAAGAGACAAATGCAAAAGGCAGACAGATATATAGAAAACACTAGCATATCTGAAAACAAAACTTAAAACACAGAATAAGCCAAGAAATAAATGGAATAATAAAAAATAACAAGTGAACAAAGTAGCCAAGCCGAGAAACCCACTGATACAAAAGTGGAAAAAGAGAAAGTGTAATGAAGACACCAAACAAAAAAAAGATGCAAATCTACACAAACAAGTCACGCAGGAAAAGAAAATTGAAGAAAAGACCCAAGGAATACAGTAACAAACCCTCAAGAGCCTCATCAATACGACATAAATGAAATTCCAGAAATAATCGAAATAACAGCTATGAGACAAGAGAAAGAAAATAAAGAAACAAACAAGCAATAACGAATTACAACAGCTTATTCTTGGGAAAGAAAACAAAGAAGGACCATCAGAACAGACACAGGGATCCCAGAAGAGCAGTCACACCCACAATGAACAGAACTAGTAAGGAGGTAATAATAGGCTCCAATATGGAGACAGGCAACCTAAAGACAGGGACAAGGTTTCAATGGTTCTACATGGGAAAACTGGCAAGCAATACAGTATTAGAAGAAATTAAACAGTATCTAGAAAGAAAAGGAATAAAAGGGAAAATCATATGTGAACATCAAATACAGTACGATACAACCTAGAATTCAAAGTAGGCCCACCAATTCATGAAGCCTCAAAAGCCTTTGAAATTCACAAAGTCAGGCAGCAGACTTCCTGTTCACAAAACCAAAAACAGGAATAATCTCAGTGAAAAAACAAAAGCAATTTATATTGAAAGCTGCAACATTGAGTGTATGAGGACTGACGTACTAAGAACATAACCTAGAACTAGAATTCAAAGAAAGAAATTTGGATTTATCAGTTATTTCCGAATCTAAAAAGGTAATGGAGTAAAAGCAGAGAGGGATCACATTTTAATGTATTCGGGGGTAAAACAGGATGACCAAGCTGCAGGAAGAGTAGCAATAGTGATATCAAACAAATGTTAAGACAATGTTGAAGACTATAAATTCATATCTCCATGAACAATAATAACAAAGCTCAACATCATGGAAAGGAAAATTAACGTAACTGGAGGGTATGCACCAGTAGAAGGAAATGAGGAAGATTCAACCACATTCTATAACAAATTACAGTGACACAGCAACAGTGAACAGATGTGAAAGGAAAGACTTCATACTAGCTGGGGATCTAAATCCTCAGATTGGTAATGAAGAAATGGATAAAATCATAAATCAAAATGGAAGAAACAACTATTCACAATTATGACACATTACTTACAGACTTTTGTGGATTCAACAACTTGAGAAAAACCAATTCCTATTTCAAGTATAAAGAAAAACAAATTCACATGAGATGCAAGGGGAACATAATCCATAACAATACTATATCTCAGTGAAGGAGGACATATTTGATAAAGAAAAAAACAAAAGTTTTTAGAGGAAGAGAAACTAGATACCGACCATTACCAAGTGGAAACTCAACACAAGAAATTAAAAAGAAAAAGAGGAAAATTAAAGCAACTCCAAAGATGAAAACCTACCTATTTCAAGAAGACAGCATCAGATACCTGTTCAAAAGCAACCTCAAAGAGAAGCTACAAAAAATAGATAAACAGCTCAAGTAACAATAGGATGCCAAACACCTAAAAAATAAAAATAGTTAAGGATTTGGAATAAAGAAATTCATGATGTGATCTCGAAGAAGAGGACTGTATACCAGAAATATCTGCACACTTTAAGAGATTACAAAGACATAAGAAATGTAGAGCAGAAACAAGATTAACAAGGACTAGCAGAAATTTGTGAAATCAATACTCTTATCACAGGCCCCCAAAGAAGTTTTTTTAAATCGTCAAGAGGATCAGGGCAGAAACAAGATGCAATGATGCACAGATCTCATCAATCTGCACAGATATCATTCCTGAAGAGAAATGGATAGAGCACTATGAAGTTATGGAGTAAACCAGACATGACAGACCCAAAGATGAGCCACACAATAATTGAGGTACAAGAAATACCATCGTAGATATCCACAGAAGAAATGAAAAAAGTGCTAATAAAAGCTAAAAATAAGAAAAGACCATGAGCAGATGAAATTTCCATGGAATTAATAAAATATGGCGGAGAAGAACTCAAGGGCAACATGACAGAATTCTTCAAATAAGTCTGGGAAGAAAATGTAACCCCAAAAAGAATCACGGACAGGCATTATCATAAATTTACACAAGAAAGGAGCAAAAACAAATCTTAACAATTATAGAGGGATATTGCTCCTGCCCACAGAATCAAAATGTTTTGCTGCTACACAATGAAATGGAATGAATGAATACAGTGAAACGTTACTGGGAGAATAACAATGGATTCAGAGGAAGGAGTACAAAAGATGCAATATTTACTTTACAAATAATTCTGCACAGACATAACGAAGTGAATCTACCGAGTTACCTATCATTCATAGACACTGAGAAAGCAAATGACAGAATAAAGTATGAATTAATGTGGCTAATACTAGAAGAAGAAAACATACCAATAGAAATTACAAAAAGAATCCAAAGCCTCTACACTGACCCACAGAAGAAAATGAAAATAAACAATGGAAATGAGTCAAAATCTTTCACAAGAAACAGGGTAAGTCAGGGATGTAGCCTGTCACCATTCCTGTTCAACATACATGCAAAGAATATAATCAAGTAATGGAAATAAAATATAAGAAAGCGAATAAATATCAGTAAAAGACAGAAGATGCAAACAATCCTGAATGCAGATGATATAGTCTAATAATAGAATCAGAAAATTACTTGCAACTTAAATGTATAAAATAGCACAAAAACATAATTTGGAAATGTCCACAAACAAGACAAAAGCAATGGCATACCAAAGAAAAGAAATGAGACAAGTCAAAATTGTCATAAATGGAAAAATAATAGAACAAGTACTCAATTGTTGCAACCTCATGGACAGAGATTGGAAGACATGGAAAACAAACTTCAGAAATACAACAGGATGAACGGATTAATCAAAAGACACTTCTTAAGTGTTATGACTGCAGCAACTAAACTAAAAATCCACAATATGATATCTAAACCAATCCTCAAATACCATTTGGAAGTCTGGACAATGAAAAGTAGTGAGCAACAAAGACTAGAAGCAATGCAAATGAGATTCCTACATCATCTTGCAGGAGAGATGCTAAAGGATAGGCAAAGAAGTAAAGACATCAGAAACACGTAAAAAGCCAAAAATTTAGTAGAAGAAATAAAGGATGGACAGAATATGGCTCTCTCACATTAAGAGAATGAAACTAGAAAGATTCCCAAACGGAGTGTTGAAATACAAACCAATATGGCAAAGGGATGTGAGAAGACCAAAAACGATATGGTATGATCAGGAACATCTGGACATGTAAGTCTCCTGTTCTACTGTGAAACAGGAACAGGTGGCAGACTTACCAATCTGCAGATTATGATGATGAAATACCTGAGCAACACTTCAGCTATACAGTTGCTTAAACTAACCACAAACATCATAATTCAAGGACGAGAACAAAAATTCATGAAAGGGAATTAAAAAATAAACATAATATGAGTTTTAAAAAATTCTATTATCCATTGTATCAAATTCTATTATTCATTGCAATTGTATTAGCACAATTGCAACTGTTGGGCAACACCAGTTTGTTGGCTGCTCGGAAGAAAACAATAAGTGCTTTTACAGCATTGAGATAATTTAGTTAGTATTATATTTATCAAATTTCTGTGCAGCTCATTGGCTATAACAGAGCAGAAAAAGTTGTGTGTTTAGGAGAAGTGAAGTCTCAGATTGCTATATTGTTGTGGATCTTTACTTTTCTGCAAAGCGAATCCACATTGTGTAAATAAACCCCAAAATTTTCAAGCAAGTTTTAATATTTTGTCATTTGTGCCACAGAGATAAAGAATGTGAATGGCTAAGATGTAACTGAAGTTACAAAGCATTGTACAATTATTTTGAAGACATAGGATCACAAATTTATAGGAAAAACTTGAGAAATGTTGGCCAGAGATGATATGCAAAATTCTTAATTTAATGGAAGATCAAAAAGTGCATGGTAAGTGCAGGGAAAATATCAAAGGGCAGTAAATGCTAAATGAAAGGTATGAAAGTGAAACGTGTACAATGTGATGTTTTAGGCAATAATGAAATTTACCCCAACACAGAAATGTTGCTGAACAACAGTTTGATAAATATTGGAGAGTAACCTGCTCAATCAAAGAGTTAAAGAAGGTAAATAAAGAATTGCAGAAAATTTTGAAGTGGAAAAGGCTGTCAAAATAAATAAATAAATAAATAAATTTAAAAAATTTGATTGAATTGACAAAGAATTTGGAATAACATCAAATGCTCATGCAGAAATTGTAGCACCTAAACTATAAGTAGAATTTTTCCAAACGGAATAAACTCCGGTCTATTGGGCATCACTCAAAGCGCTGCAATTTTGAAAAACATTCATTAATTTTGGTGGTACATTACTTGAAGCCTCTGGAACATTTCAAAATTTCCACAAAAAATCAGAAGTGTTCCAGAGGCTCCAAATTTTTTGCTTTGCGTTTTTAGTAATAATAGATTGAAATATACTTAAAGATGGCACATGTCCGATTTTCGCAGTTACCTACTTATTTTTTCTTGAAGTAAAATTCTTTATCCATAATTAGTTCTTTCTTTAAGGTCGTGTACATTTTTTTGAAAAATTAAGTAGTTTTCACACAATATTGCATGCAGTTAAAAAAAAATTAACAAAAACAAGATTTCTCAAAATTGTGCTAAAAGTACTCTAGGAGATTGAAAAAAACACCATATAGCTCTATTCTTTTCTTTTTTCAAAAATTGTATTTTTTCTTGTGTAACAAGTTGTTAATATTTACATTAGCGGCAATTTGTTCACATTACTGCAATTATAAGTACATATGCTTTGAATGATGCGGTATAAAGTTTCTCAAAAACTCAAGTTTCCGGTAAATATGAACTCAGAAATTTCCACATTTTTCAGAACCCGCCAGTCGTTGTCCTGCAGTGTGTGCGTGTCTCTCTCTATCTATCTCTCTCCCCCCTCTGTGAGTATCTCTTGCATGACCGTCCAGTTTTCCTCAGCCTCCCATTGTGTCACATGGCAACGGCCAGCAACAATGAAACTCATGTGGAGCTAAGTTGAACTGTAAATTGAATTAAAAAGGCCTACCATCTTGTGTGGCAGTACCATCTAGTGGAGTTACAATAAAATGCAAATCATACAAACCTTAATGAAAGAAGACGTAGATGGGCCAACTTTCAGAAAGATTTATCACTGGTGTCAGAGCTCATCACTCTGGTAATACTCACATCCAGCAATGAGAGAAAGAGAGAGAGAAAGAGAGAGAGAGAGAAAGAGAGAGAGAGAGAGAAGAGGAGAGAAGAGGGCGAGAGAGAGAGAGAGAGAGAGAGCGAGAGAGAGAGAGAAAGAGAGAGAGAAAGAGAGGAGAGTAGAAAGAGAAAGAGAGAGAGGAGAGTAAGAACAGAGGGATTCTTTGCTCTTTAAATTTTAATTATTGTAAATATTTCTAGTACTAAAGGCTCCCACCATCCGCAACAGTAGCGGGGCGGAAAGTTCTGAGCGAGACACGGCGACGATATCCGAGGGTCCATTCTCACAGCGTCTGGTGGCAGCTTTATTCAACCAATACACAAAACGTGTTTGCTTCTATTCATTCACTAGATAGAAAATGCCAATACTCGTACGTTTTCTGAGGGCATGCGGTACGGTGCTTTTACCTCTTATCTATGATTTCTATCAAATTGTTAATATTACTTTAGGAAAGAAAGAAAAGAGGTCCATAATTTTGACCTACACATGAAAAATTTCATACCTTGATGCCACAAAGGGTAAGAAACGCTTTTATATTTACTAGAATGACCGGTGACTTTTGATAAAATTGTGAATCTGATCGCAGAAGACGCAAGAAAATCTGACATGATATCTCACCTAAAGAACTACTATTTATTGTGCTCTTGTGAAGAATTATAAATTTATTGAAACTTTTCATTACAAAATGTACAAAAATGTACAAAATCGAAGTTTAATGTTATTTAAAATTAATTAAAACTCTAAATACAATTAGAAGTATTTTTTCTCATCGTCCAGTCGCGTCAGATTCACTGGCGAGCTGAAAATATTCGACATCTGACGAGTCCTTGGTTTTCACAGCGAAACTCGAACGGCAGATTTCTGCGTGAAAACTCCCGTAGGCGGGTTGACTTCCACGAAGCTCGAGCGGCAGCGGAAAAAAAGCGTCCGATTGCACTACAAAATACGCCGCGAGGCTCGCCTGCCGCCCAGGCCTGAACGTGCTAGAAGGGAACACCTGACGTCCGCTGCGGCCATTCCGCGTAGGCTGCGGATCTTCCGCGCCGGTCTGTGGGAGTCTTAAATTCTATAAATCAAATATAAAAATACTGTTACGAAGTAACCAATGCATCTGGGAAGAAGTTATTTTCGAAATTGAAGCGAATAAAAGGTGAGTTACAAAAGCGAGAAGTATTGCAGGGCATCAATGGCTTAGGTAATTAAAGTTTGAAGAGTTCCGAACTTGACATTTTAGCGGAAATTGTTTTAAAGACATACCGGCTCGATTTTGCCTCCTCTAAATGCAAAAAGGTCTTTTCTACAAAAGTAGAAACTAATAATAATTCGGGAAGAGTGGAGTGTTAATAACTTGTAATGTAGTAAACCGGTTAATAATAGTTGTAATGTAGATATAATTTATCGATGTTTGAATGTTTGTTTACCACTGAATAAAAAACGTGTGTGTTGGTGTGTGTATGTGTGCGAGTAGTGTGTGTGTGTGTGTGTGTGTGTGCGTGTGTGCGCACGTGCATTTTTGAAGCCACAAGGAGCCTCAGAAGTTCTAAAACAGGTCCCATAAATATCACAAAAAAGAACTGAAGTTTTTAAGACACCCTTTAATAAGTCATTAAAACTAAAACGGTCATTTTCTACTCCAATGAGCTGTATTTAGGAAAATGGATCCACCCAGTGAAGCTGAAACAATTCAAAAACATGATCTGTTTGCAACTGATAGAAAATGTCACTAACATAATATCATGATTTACCTTTCCATTTTTCAAGGGGATATTGATATTCACAGTATCTGTGACACTACTTGTGACAAGCAGAGGGCTTCCAGTAGCAGATACAGCACATTCACCTGGTTCAGGTATTCTTAGAATACCCACAGATGAAACACCTGAGGCACTTGGTGTTCCAATAAATTTACTTAAAGAATTAGCGCCTGCTACCTGAGAAGAGAAAAAAATTGATGTTTACATAAATTTATATAATAAGCAATAGTAACTCCAGGAAATCCTCTGTGACCACAAAATATTTACCCAGTTTACATTGTTTACACGATACAATTGGCAAGAAGGGTGAAGAATGATGTGTGACGAGTGACACACATATTGTAGGCACATTGAAGGTCAAAATAGCTGATGAAAGTTTTCAGCAGGTAGGAGGAGTAAATTAGAGGCTAGCGCAGGTATTCCCTACCTTTTGGTTGAATCAATACCCCAATATTTTTCTCTCCATGCCTACTTTATAGCACATAATGTAATTATAACACAAATGGTTGCATATAAATAATATAAAGATAACAGATAAATATAGGCAAAAGTTTTAAAAATGAAAAGAGCTTATTAGTTTAGTTTTATATGTTTTTTGCTTTCATTGCTTTCAATTTTTACAAATATAAATAAGTTTACAGATTCCAATTACACAAAATTTCTATTTCAATAATGAAAATACTGGAAAATTCCAAGAGGTAAGCAAATTTGTTATTTTTTACAGGGGGGGGGGGTGATAACTTTATACAAATGAAAAATAAATACTAACATTTGATTTGTAACCAATGAAAAATTGACCTTCATTATACCTATCACTCACTGGTCCATGCACAGAAATCAACACCTTGATTACCATTGACCCCCTATAAAATGTCATCAACCCGCAGGGACAATACTTTGCGTGCACATTTTCTTAATCCTCCAGCTCTCTATTCTTGCTCAGCCTGGTAGAAAATAGGAGTTCCACTCGTCATAGCTCCGTTTGCAGTGATGCTCACCATCATCTTTTACAATGCATATGCCTCAGTTTTCTGTCTCTTTCTAAATATTTCTGCGTTCTTCTGGTTAGACAATAACTTCTACAATTATTAATTATTTCTTCAAAATTAAAAAACAACTTTCATTGTTTCTCATTACTATCTAGTCAAAGACATGCATTACCCTGAATTTTCTGTTGGTGACGTAGACAGTACTTCACTGGTGTGATGTAGACAGAACCTGCCTCTCCCTGCACCACCCACTGTACAGTATCAATAAAAAGTGTGTGCATAATACCTATCCTGTTGGGAACCCCTGGGCTCAAAGCTTTTAAGGAGCAATTTTTACAGGTCAAATTGTTAATTACCTTTAACATATTTGATTCTGTTGCAACTTGCAATAAGCTTCTTGTATGTGGAACTCCAGGAGTACACCTACTTTCTGCAAGGAAAAATGGTTTTAAAAACATAGGAATAAAGAATTCTGCCAAAAAAAAAGTAAGTAATTGTAAAAAAAATAATTTAAAGGGTACAATAAAATAATAATAATAAATAATAATAATAACAACAATAATAATAATTGATGGCAACTTTCAAAATGAATAGATAACAGGGTTCTGATATTGAGGGACAAGTTGGCAGATAAAAGCGTTCATGTGATTAATTATTTATCTCACGATTAAGAGCTAATTTATCTTAATTTTTCCTGAATCTTACGACAATTGCTGAGAAAGTACAAAACATGCCATAGTAGCATCAACATTTTCTCAAATGGGGAAATGAGCAAGGCACTTATTGATAAGCAAATTATTTTTAGTACAATATCATTACCATATTAGTTTTTCTTTAAGTAAAATCAAGAAAAATCTCAATTATTTTACAACTATATGCAATAATTTACAATAATTCAGAATTTAGAAACTTTAGATATAATTAAGAATCTGTAAGATTATAAAAAGAAGTATTATCGATAGCGCAAAAAATGGGCAATGACCTGACACATACTAGACCACAGTTTGCATCCTCAAGAATATTAAAAATCACATACCTAGTCTTCGAGGAATTTTACATGAGAATCAGGATGATATATACTTTCTTTCTGTCATTCGTGGATAAAATGCTGTTTAATAAAGTGCTGTCAGATTATTAACATTTATGCTTATTTGGGTGGGTCAGAAGTATGTTGTATTGGCAGAATTGAAACTCTCCGTTAAAACAACATACAACAAATGTAAAAGGTACTCCTGGATAAGAGAGTATAAAGTTCCCCTAAATCAAATGAGTAGTTACACTACAACTCTAACATAAAAATAACATTTTTGAGAAGTTTCTCATCCCCCAACCCACAGCCTTCTGCCGTCAAAAACTTTTTTTTTGTCAACTTAACTACTTAAAAAATATGAAACGAAATAATTTATACTAACAGAAAAAATAGTTTTCAATATTTTCTCAACGCCAAATTCAAAGAGGGAAAAAAAAATAATAAAAAATTAAAATAAAATACCTTGTCTTAGAACCCTGGGACAGGCTTGAAAAAATAATTTTAAACACACCCATTAACTTGAAATTAATTAATTTAATCACACAAATGCTGTGAGAGCATTCCTTTTCTAACAACTTCCTCTCCTGCTTTCTGTTCTGAGAGACCCTTTCACCAAAATTGCATATGCATTTTCTTTGAATAACCTCCTTTTTATTATGAACTATTGTAATAAAAGTTTTGAAAGTGGTCAGGCAGAAGAGCAGGCCAAATGCCCTACCACCAATAAATATATTTATTTTTAAGTTCACAACTGCATTCAAAGCTTAACAAATGATGATATCAAACCGCCAAAGTTCACAGTCGAGTGTGATCAATACAGGTGAGCTAAAAAGGATATTGTGATGAGTACCACTCATCATAAAATATTAAATTAGATTTTAATTTTCAGATTTTGTTTTAAAATGTCAAGTATTACCTTTTTGTGCATTTGTATTTATAGGTTTTCATAAAATTACACAGTGATGAAATGTACTATGAAAGACAATTATTTCTTCCTGGAAAATATGCTTATAATCATGATCAGTAAGGAGAAATGAACAGTTTAACGAAATGTTTATGACAATATAGTGAGGTCAATGTGGACAATAATGCATCTAAAAGTACCTCAACTTGGAAACTGTCATTGTAAATGTCATTGTTATTATAGGTAATTGTTGAATTATGAATCTAATATGCAACCTTTTTACAAACAATGTACTCTCAGAGCCTAAGGAAGACATTGGAATGTAATGTCAAAACTTGAAATAAAACAGAAAATGTTATGTATATAATGAAATGAAATAAAAGTGAAAGATGATAATTTGTGTATAAAAATCTGGCTGTTTTACAATAATTATGGAATACAATATTAATAATAAAAATCCAATAGCAAGTATAAAGATTTTGTGACGACTTCATTACTCAATACAGTAGGAAGATCATAAAAAATCCAATCATTAGTGATTTACAAAAAATAAGAGTCAACCTGTCTCAGCAAAGTACCCCAAAACTTAAAGTTTTTTAACATCTCAGAGCTTTGAGTTGGGCCAGATCGACAAGTGAATATTCATTTTGGAAACAAAAGAGCATTTCACAGCATTACTATGGTGTAGTAACTCTTGTTTCTCATCTGTGATAATTTGGTAAGGACTGGCAGAGCATAGCACATGTGCAATTCCAATCTAAAGATCATTCATTATCTCGTTCACCCTACTCAAACGCAGTATACAGACCTACTAGTGAATTGAGTTTCGCTGATAAGACATTGAGTTTCTCAGTACCTTTTCATTGCATTCCATGCAGCTTTGGCATTGTGACTCCGGATATTCTTATCTAATCTTATGACTATGACAGCTTGTTTTTCCTATGTCAGGTCTGGTAGACCCAGTGTCACCATTGGGGTCTGGGTCATGGACATGTACACTTGTGACAGTACAGTGATGACAGATTTGTTCTCAGGGGTGGGTTTGCTCTCATATCGCAGAAAGTTGATCAAGCTACTGGTGACATGAAAATCAGAAATAATTATATTTACTACCTCACAAAAGGATGACTAGATATTGTCGATGAAACGTGTGCTTCCTATAGCTATGCCAGGTGTATAAGTCGGTAGCTGATTGTATTGTTGTACCACATTTAGACTGTTACTGCATTCAATGCATTTATCATATTCCTGTCCAACACAAATGCAATAATGAAAAGGGAACAATTTATGAAAAAATTATTTACTGAACTTGTAATGGATCAATTGCAATACAGAGCGTCTGCACCATGTCTCCCCAAAGAGGTTAGAAACTGACCACTACAACACCACCAATGGAAGAACTAGTAGCTTTAATACAAGCTAGGAAAGCTAATTGCACCAATAAGAACATAAAGATACAATTTCATTGGGTGAAGTGTTATATATTTTTGGGCATGGAGCATGCAAAAATTGTGTGTGAAGGCTGCCTGGAAAATTGCAACTAAATGCAAACTATGTAATCAGTATTCATTTCTGGAGAAATTACAAACACTTATCAACAAAAGTTACTGAGTGCACATCGTTTTCCATTCCTGTTGTAAGATTGTGTCATTATCCTTCAAAACAAAATAGTTATAACTAAAAAATTAAGTGGGTCTGACAGACCCAATGTCACCGGTCGTGTCACAAAATAGGGTGTCACTACTGCAGGGTTAATTCAACAAGAACAGAAAATGAGCTTCTCAGTTAAGAGAATGTGTGACAAGTGAAGTTTTTTATATTAATTGAGAGATGGCAAAAGATCCTATTTAAATTATGTTTTGTCATTAATTAAAAATGTTAAAGAGACCTTACATTTCATAGCAGTTAGTTCAATTAGATTTGTTTTAGGCTTCCAGTAATTTTATAATATTGTGAAAGTGACCAATTCTTGCCAGAACAATTAGTGACCATGTCAGTCAGGGATGATTGTAATTCTACAATTGTTCCATATCAATTAAGTTTTTCAACTTTTCCCAGTTTCCCTGGGTGTTGCAAAAACTGCAAAGAAAAGAGACTTTTATAGAAGACATATCCAAATTTGAACACTTAACATACCAAAGTTGATAATTCTTCCAGGAGATCCCTGTGTTACTCCTGGTCCTTTTTCTCTGCATTGATTCATTACATTCTCACAAGGTTCCACCTTCATGAACAAAAAAATAAAATAGAAATAATTAGCAAAAATTATGAATAAAAATAGAATATAACATAACATGCTCAGCAGTAAGAGTATAAAGTTAAAAATAGCTCCTTTTCACAAGAGAGGTTGAATTCAGGAGCAGTTCTAGTTTGCTTTTTCTATACAAATGGATTCAAACTTTTGAAGTAAATATTTGAATAACTTTAGATACATGTAAAGCTTGGCTTTTTCCCAGTGCCATTTTTATCATTTCTGCAAATTCTGCTATTTATTAATCCTTAACACTCAAGGTCCCATCTCATTACTGTTTGAGAATTTTTCTATTGTGGAGAGTTGCATTGCTACTCAATCTTATTTTTTTTGTGCATCAAAATTCACTACAGATCAGATGTTCTTCAGAGCTACAAAAATGCAATTATGAATTATTTCTTTATATCAAAATGCTTACTCTGATAGTGAATGATTACACTACTCTTAAATTATTTCCAAAACTAGTAATAAAAATTATATTAATAGAACTTTTATGTGGAAGTATACAGTTTTTCGAAATATTAACATTTTTCCCCATCTAACTCATCACGGAGCCTAGGTTGGGTGTAAAAGCATTGGTGATAAAAGCCAATTCCCATGGCAGCATGCCACACACAGAGAAATCTCTGACATCTCAGTATGGCTCCCTGGAAATTGAGGTAGAATTAAAGTGTCCTCTGAGGAAGGCTTTAAGTACTTGTCTACTCAACTGTTGTTTCTTTTTTCACAATCTATTACTTTTGTTCTTATTCACACTTCAAACCATTTTCATGATATTTGCTTCTTCACAAGTACCATGCCCCTCTATATGCTACAAGCAGGATCTTTGGAGGACTTTTTCTGAGATTTGAATTTCCAAAAAGAAACAACATATCCTGGGTCAGAAAAGGTATTCATCAAAACCTTTTTACAGCAAAATGCACTCTCCATTGTGGGGAGGGAAAAAAAGAAAGAAAGAAAAAACGGGG